GTGGCTTTCCAGGGATGAACACTACTGAGGTTTTACCATAGTTGAACTCATTCTGTGCCATTGGTTATTTCAATGTTGTATTTATACATATATTCAGTGGTGGAATTGAATGAAGTACATTAGGTCAAGTACTGTACTTAAGTACAATTATTAGATACTTTCCTTGAGTATTTCCATTTTATGCAACTTTATACTTCTACTCTATTTGTTTGAGCGCTTGAGTTACTAGAATCTTTTCAGATTCCGATTATAAGCTAACAAATCAACTAATTAATAAACATATTGATATATTAATATAAGTTCAGATATTTAGTAGCCGTATACAAAGTAATTTACATAAGCTCTACATTTACGAGCTGTTATAAACACATTAATGCATCAATAATCAAAATCTGTTATTAAATGTATATGATTCTCAAATGGGCCACTATAGGTAAAACAAGTGCTTTGAATTCTGGTACTTCAGTATATTTCTCTTGTGTACTTTTACTTAAGTTACATTTTGAATTGAAAACGTTTACTTGTTTCGGAGTAGTTTTACATTAAGTATTGCTACTTTTACTTAAGTAAAGAATATGAGTACTTTACCATCATTGTATATATTGTATATGCTTGTAATCCCCTGTCACCATAGAATTGTGTAAGTTGTAAAAATGGTCTAAAAAAGAACATTGCGAACAAAACGCTGTCCAGTGGTTTTACCAGACTGACAGTGGATGTGCTCTTTTTTGCTTGTTCCTGCTCTCATCATAGCTGCAGGCTCCAACTCACTCCCACACCATTGAACACACACTTTCTCTCTGCATTACAACTCCTTTGGGAGACACAGTGAAACAAAATGGTTCTGCTAACACACACAAACAGATAAACCAACCAGATACGTTGGAGGCTGTGCGAGATTAACCTGACCAAGAACACTTCATGGTGAGTACGGCGAAGACAATAAAGTTGTAACAAGCAGTAGCGCTGAGCAAAGTGACTAGAACGCGAGCACACACTTATATAAACACACGTATAAAGTAGCAGCGTGCATTGGTGAACAAAGAACCACGGCACTCTGGAGAAGAGGACAGAGTTGGAGAAGTCGCTTTTTTTTTTTAAATCTGGCTTCGTACGATTAAAAGCAACACAAGCATCGACCCCACGCAGTCCGCCATTGTTGTGAGCGACGTTGCCGAGAAAATCAGTGTCATTAACGATGATGTCATGATGTAGCACCACTTGGGCTCCGGGCGGTGGAAAACAAAAGTTCTCATTTAGTGCTGCAAGAACTGAGTTTCAGTGGAAAGCAGTGGCGTTTTCTCCTGGAGGCCAAGGGAAGCCAGGCTTCCCCTGTTTTTTCGGATTGTAGTTATAATTTTAATAAATAAATAAAAACACTTCGTTTAGTTTCGGAAATTCTTCTTTGCTGTGTGTTGCTGCCGGCCCGTCTCTCCCCCATTCTCATTGAGTATTTTACAAAGAGTGAAACAGCGCCCCTCTAGATGTTATGGTGAAACAGTAGATTGCACTCTCTGTTGCGAGAGGAGGCCAGCCGAAATTGGCTTCCCTTGGTGAAAAAAAATGGAGGGATTGACCAATCAGACAAGGCTGACGTCATGCCCCTGCCAAGCTGTGATTAGTCAGAGCCATGCCAAAGAAAGCCAGAGGCGGCTGGCTTCCCTTGCCTCACAATCCAATCAAATCGCATCAACTTAGTGGTGCAGTGACGCGTCCTAAAACCCGGAAGTAAGCTGCGCTCGGGTTCCCTCTACAAAAAAGCAATGGGATTTCTCCATAGGATTTTGGAAATGAGCTGGAAATAAGGTCTGTGGAAAACGAACCTGTTAGATAAATGCACGTTTTGTTCAGCCGGATAATATCCACATGTCTACTCTACTTTTATCATTTTCGAATCATAAATCTAATTGATAGATAGATAGCGTCACTGCACCACTCTCACCGCCGTTAGAAAGTAGCAACCAACTGAAGCAAGTGCAATTATGGAGGATGGAGATTTGGAGTATTTAATCAAAAATAATTCTACTAAACTTCCGCTACAGCAGCAATTAAAATTAAATCTGATGACAGGCCAATGCCCAAACTGGAGCTGTGTACAGCGAGGAAAAAAGGAGCGAATCGGACGTAAAACGTTAAAGGTCTCCTGATTTAGTTTGTGAATGAATGCTTATTAGAGTTTCGGCTGGGGAGTGCGTGCGGACCTGTCGGTTAGAAAGCAGGCGTGTGTAAGTCCTGCATCTGTATGATACAAATGTGTGTAAAATGATACCGGGCGCTGTAATCACTTCTTCTTCTCTTCGTTTTTCGCTGTAATCACTCATCTGGTTACAGCGTTACATTGTCCACCCGCCTCCACCCCCCCCCCCCACCCCCCAAAGTTATGGACCTAATGGTAAATCAAATGTCTTTTTTTAAATGAATACTTAATTTGTTATCCTTCCACCAACTGCAAACTGAACACAGTTTTCAGATTGTAACCAGAACCTAGCCTTTAGCTTGGTGTGGTGTCGTCAGGTCATGTGACCACACGGTAGTTCCTTTATAGCCTAACGTTACATTTCTGCTGATTGCATTTACGCTTCAACTATTATAAAAGCTGAATTTCATATTTTGAGATTATCCTGAAAATAAGGTCCAATATGTCCATAATGTCACAAGTCCAATAGAAATATCTTATTGCTTTTTGGTCGGGGGAGCCCATGCCATGGTATTTTCCGGGTCGGCCTGCAAAAATACGTCATCACTACAACGCTCTATTATGTTTGATATTATGCAGAATGAAAAACACTAAGATACTGTGCTGCTGTGTGAGTGTGTGTGTGCTCTCTACAAAGGAAGGAAAGAGCTGGGTGTTTGTCCCCGGCCCACCTGTAAGAGTTCAGAGTGCAGGAAGAAGATCACACAGATCCAACAACACAGCCACACAATCAAAGCCCCGACTGCTAACAAACCTGCAGCGCTTCAGCTGCTCTGATCTGTGTTTGGAAGATAAAAGGAACATCCTGGTGGTGTCGGTCGCAGCTCGCTGCAGTCCCTTCACCTCGAAGCATCTGTCTATCCAAACGTGTGTGTGTCTGCTGAGCCTAACAAACTCAGGCCTGCTCAGGATAGCTGCAGCTCTGTGTGTGTGTATTGAAAGCAGCCAGCAGCATGTTGCTCCAGCTGTCCCTTCGTGCATCTGGCCCCGAGCATGTCTTTGTAAATACATTTCATTTTTTCCTTCTAACTTGTTATTCTTTCCTAAGCATACTCAATACAATAAGACCAAGTGCTACCGAGGTGTCACTGAGCAAGGCACTGCTCCCCGGGCGCCGTACATACTGGCAGCCCACTGCTCCTGACACTAGGATGGGTCAAATGCAGAATGTACATGTCCCCTCTGTTGGAAGATTAAGGGTATATCAAAAGAAAGAAATAATAACACTTCAGGTTTCTTTCTTTCCAAAGCCCCCCCCCCCCCTCCCTGCATGGATCTGATCCAGAGACACACTGATGGAAAGGCTGAGAGCATTCATATACAAATGTATGTCATCAAAATAAATTGAAAAATGCTAAATCTGCACAATTTTTTCCAAACATATCGGTTTATTCTTTGTATTGAGACTGATGAAGAGATTTGCTGTTTTTAGCAGGTAGTGCACATAGAGCTTCTTCTCAGTAAATATACTGAAGTGGATTCAACTATTGTGACAAGCTTGTATGTTTGACAGAACTTTAAAGAAATATCATGTGTTTTCTTTCCAAGAGAGAGATGAGATGATAGATATGAGATTATCATATGTATCATGTTAAGCATGGTCTGAATGATGTAACAGCAAACAGCTGTAGCAGACAGTAGAGATGTATACTGGACCTCCCAGTTCAGTCCACTCTGCGCTACCCGCCTCTGACCCACTTGGTAACTACAACTGTCCGCTGCTGGCAGCACAATCAGCTGTGCCAGGTCCACTGAATACACAACCCAAGCTGTTATACTGTATATATAACTCCTATAACTCTTATCATCTAATAAGGTGGGCTTACTGTGGAAAATGTTTGAACATTTGAAAAAGCCCCTAAACTAAGAACAGTCCTTCATAATCATCATATGAAGATGTGTTTTCAAAGGCCTGGTGCTTCTGTGTAGAACAACCAGAGATAGGGATTGTTCGAACATTGGAAAGACTAACAAAGACTGTTATAATGACTTTGATTAACAATAGATTCTATCAAGAAATGATATGCTTTGTTTCTTAAAGTATTTTAATTGTCCAAATCCCATTTATGAATTTATCACGGTCATAGATTATTTGTAAGATTGGATCAGAGGTGCACGGATGTTGTTTGATGAAAGATAATCAGCTGAGATCCCATGAGATCCACTGCAGAGCGACGTCAGCACACTCTGCAGGGAGCTTCTGGAATCATGAGTAATGGGAGTTGTAAATGACCTGCTCGTTTCCAGGTGTGACTGAGGATCAGCAGACTTTCTCAAAGAAGGTGCCAGGTGATCAGGTCACATGATATCCTGGGGTCACACATTGTAAGAACCGTTGTTACGGCAACAAGAGCGAGATTTATAGATGTAGAATAAGACGCTTTATGTCCCAGCTATTATTGCCACATGTTATTTTCAGGATCACTTTGGATTTTCAGCCATCACAATGATGTGTATCTGGCTCGTAGGATTCATCTAATGAAAGACAGCAAAGCCTTTCAGATCGTCTTACTCCTCTTTTCATGGCAACAGGCTTTCCAATGATAGAAAACGGTATTCAACTTTTCATTGTTTCATTTGGATCTCCTGGGCATTTGGTTTACATGTCTGCTGTTATGAAGGGTTTGGCTGCTTGCCCTGTTGCTAATATTGAACCAAGTTTGTGAAACATTATTTTCCTTGTAACACTAAGAGGTATATTGTGACACTAAGAGGTATATGCCATTCAGCCAGTGCACGACGTACTGACAGAACTCATACGCTTTTACACAACAGCTCTCTGTATTCTCTGTGCTGTGTGCAGCTGCTCAGTGAGAAGATCAGCGGGGCGGAGGGAACCAAGCTGCACCAGGACTTTGTGGAGATGGAGAGGGTGAGTCCAGAGAGTTGAAATTCAAGTTTAACAACAATCTCTGAAGAGCATTTATCTGAGATGGTCTCGGAAAATAACTTTTTCAAAAAGACCTGATGGCGGATAATACTAACGTCTTCTTTTGGTCAGATTATTACTAAATGAGCTGCCACCTGAAGACACATATCAGGGTCCAGAAAGGGAGTGAAAACACATCTTTAGCACTCATTTTAAGATATAAGGATACAAAGATGTGAATAGACTTTTCTGTTATGTTTAGTTTGAGCTTTATTAACAACAATGAAGGTTTACGCAGTCGGAGGAAGATGGACATGTCGCTGAAACACCTTCCATCAATCTAACCAACACTTTTACTCTAAAGGACATCAAGAACACAACAAGCCTTACTGCAGCCTTCATCTGCTTTCAGTCCAGAATCAACTTCGCTGAGAAACTTCAGAATCTTCATTCATGTTATAATGTATTGTATATGTATAAACTATACTTATAAAATATGGTAATTCTGAACCATGAACCCAGCTTAGACAAGTGAATGATTGACTGAAATGAGTGTTTAAATATCCTCCAGAGCTGGAACATACCCATAACTGCAACATTTCTTTTTTTAATGTTCCTATTTGGCTCCCATTAGAAAATAGATGTGACCAACAAGTCCATGTTTGACCTCTTGTCCAAAACAACAGAATACCTGCAGCCTAACCCAGGTAACAAATACATATCGTATGCTATTTTGTCATCTGCCACTACAACACTGCCTTGTAAAATGAATCAGGGATGAATGTCTCCCTCCGCAGCGTCTCGAGCCAAACTGAACATGCTGAACACCATGTCTAAGATCCGAGGGCAGGTGAAGAACACCGGGTACCCCCAGTCTGAGGGGCTGCTGGGAGACTGCATGCTGCGCCACGGACAGGATCTGGGAGAGGACTCCATCTTTGGTACCCATCATCATATTCCACAAACACCTAGATAGTGGCCGTGCTGCAGAAAGCACATTGATGGGTTTCTCATTCAAGTTCAGAGGATCTCTGTATCAGTGTCTGCTGGTTCTCCTCCTGCAGGCTGCGCTCTGACCGATATGGGGGAGGCCATGAGGCAGATGGCCGATGTGAAGGACTCCCTGGACATAAGTGTCAAACAAAACTTTATTGACCCCCTGCAGCATCTACAGGACAAGGACCTGAAAGAGATCACGGTACATAAAGAGCAGCCACACTACACTACACGTTTGACACTGTTGACCACAACATATTACTAGACCGACTGGAAAACAGGGTGGGACTTTCGGAAACAGTTCTAAATTGGTTTGAATCCTACTTAAAGGACAGAAACAACTTTGTTTCTATAGGTAAATACACATCTGAGTTGACAAATATGACATGTGGGGTACCTCAAGGCTCCATCTTGGGGCCTCTTCTCTTTAACATCTACATGCTACCACTGGCTCAGATAATGAAGAACAACAAAATAAGTTACCATAGCTATGCGGATGACACACAGATTTACGTAACAATTTCACCAGGAGACTATGCTCCAATTCAAACACTGAGTAAGTGCATTGCACAAATCAATGACTGGATGTGTCAGAACTTTCTCCAATTAAACAAAGATAAAACTGAGGTAATGGTTTTTGGAGCCAAGGCAGAACGTATAAAAGTTAGCGCTGAGCTTCAGTCTGCAATGTTCAAAACAACAGATAAAGCCAGAAATCTAGGTGTAGTCATGGACTCTGACCTGAGTTTCAACAGTCACATTAAAACAATAACTAAATCAGCCTACTATCACCTAAAGAACATATCTAGGATTAAAAGACTAATGTCACAGCAGGATTTGGAAAAACTTGTCCATGATTTTATCTTCAGTAGACTCGACTACTGCAATGGTGTCTTCACAGGTCTCACTAAAAAATCTATTAGAAAGCTGCAGCTAATTCAGAACGCCGCTGCTCGAGTCCTCACTAACACTAAGAAAGTGGATCACATCACTCCTGTTCTGAAGTCCTTACACTGGCTTCCTGTGTGTCAAATAATAGATTTCAAAATATTGTTGCTGGTTTATAAAGCTTTGAATGGTTTAGGCCCAAAATACATGTCTGACCTACTGCTAAATTATGAACCATCCAGAACTCTCAGGTCTTCAGGGACTGGTCAGCTTTCTGTCCCCAGAGTCAGAACTAAACATGGTAAAGCAGCGTTCAGTTATTATGCTCCAGAAACCTGCAGGTCCGCTGCAACTCTTACTACTTTTAAATCCAGGCTGAAGACTTTTCTTTTTGTCGCCGCTTTTAATTGAACTATTCACATCTTAAACTGCACTGTAACTTTTATCCATGTATTTTTTCTTTTAATGTTTATTTTATTATCTTTTCTTTTTAATGACTGATTTTAAATGCCATTTTCTTAATGTCTTTCATTTTTTGTAAAGCACTTTGAATTGCCTTGTGTTGAAAGGTGCTATATAAATAAACTTGCCTTGCCTTGCCTACACTACGAGAATGTATTGATGTTATTCCGTGCTTTAAAACCTTGCCCTCAAATTCTAATCATTTTGACAGTGTTTAAAACACAGTGTTTCTTCCGGCGCCGCGCTAGTGGCAGCCAGTTACAGCAGCTCTTACTCACACTGAGTAGTTTTCCTTATATTTACTTATTTTGTGCCTATCTTATCTTTTTATTTTTATTGTATATACTTTGTTTAACTTATACTTGCACTATGGACGTCAGGCCCGTACTTTTTGCACTCTTTTTAGTACTGTTTATGTTAGCCTTCCGTAGCATGGCAATGCTAACCGGCGATAGACCCGCTGTTCCCCGCAAGCTGAGGAGAAAGAGACGGGGACGCCGTGCCGGGGCAAAGCTGCGAGCCAGGAGGAGACGATACAGACCTGTCCTTCCATCTATCACCATGGGGAATGTGAGATCTCTTCCCGAACAAGATGGACGAGATCGCGGTGCTGACCCGGCATAAGAGGCAGTATCGGGAGAGCAGTATCCTTGTGTTTACTGAGACGTGGCTAACGGAGTTAACCCCGGACACTAACGCTACACTGGATGGTTTTCATCTGCTGAGGGCGGACAGGACGAGAGAGAGTGGTAAGAGGAAAGGAGGAGGGCTGGCTGTGTTTGTGAATGATAGATGGTGTAATCCAGGGCACACCACTATTAAAGAACGAATCTGCAACAGGGACATAGAGCTGTTAGCCGTGGACCAACCTCTGGTCCACAGACAGCCGGTGCCCACACGCACGTGAAGAAGTGGTCTGAGGAGGCCCTGAAAGACTGTTTTGACACTACCGCGTGGGATGTGTTCACTGACTCTCACGGGGAGGACATTAACGGCCTTACAGACTGCATCACAGACTATATTAACTTCTGTGAGGAAAACGTCGTACCCACCAGGACTGTACGGTGTTTTCCCAACAACAAACCCTGGGTTACCCCTGGAATAAAGGCTCTCCTGAAGGACAAAAAGAGGGCCTTCAGATCTGGCAACAGAGAGGAGCTGAAGACTGTACAGAGGGAGCTGAGGTGGAAAATCAGAGAGGGGAAAAACAGCTACAGGAAGAGGATGGAGGAACAGCTGCTGCAGAGGAACGTCAGCGGAGTCTGGAGAGGCCTGAAGACCATCTCTGGCTACAAAGAGCCAGACTCCCAGGTCCGGGGGGACCGCCAGTGGGCAAACGACTTGAATAACTTCTTCAACAGATTTGATCAGTCATGCGTCTCCCCCCCCGACCCATTCCCCCCTGCTGCACCCCCCATTGTCCCCACTGCCTGGAAATGTCCCTGTCACCTCTCCCACCTCTACTCAGGCCTCTTTCACACGGGAACGTTTGCGTTTATGCACAGTATGCGTATTCAAAAAAGTCTTCCGTTCACATGCATTCGTTTCATTTAACGTGTCTGTTCAAACGAGACCGCTGGAAACGCTGTAGTACATATGCCGGGACTGTAAGTGGCGCTGTAACTTCCGCCAAAATACACCAAAAGCAGCGAAGAAGAGCAGCCCAGAGCAGCCCCGCAGCAATGTTGCCATGGCTACCCTTCTGTTTACGCCCGCGGTGTATTTAGCAACATGTAGTTCATGTAATTCTCCATGTCCACTTGTTGCTGATGGTTGTGGTAGAGGAGCTGTAGATTTTGCACTAATATCTGTAGCATGGTCAGTAGCAGTAGCACTAGCAGTAGCTACTGACAGGAGGAAGTGTGTGTGGCGATTGCTGGTATTCAGCGGGATATAGTCATTTCCTCAGCATATGGATAAATGCAACGGGGAAGTTAACTGAAAGAAACCGAATCTGTGGATATTGCATCGACCGACCAAGAAGCACGTCTCCGTGGAGAGGACGCGCTCAGAAAGAGAGATATTCTCTACAAACACCGGGTGAGATCGCTCCTTTGTCAATATAATGGATCAATGCATGAAATCTGACTCTGTTTATTTTGTTTGAGGAGTATATTGGGCGTTAACAATTCTGGTTTGCCTTTTATAATATTATTTCATTCAAGAACCCCTTGTGCGTTTAATTAACACAGCTATTTTTGATAGTTGCTACAGCAGTGAGCAGGAGAGGTGGGGCTATCGTTATTTTTTCAGGAAATATTCGTATCGAGCTGATTACACGGACTCGGTTGACCCCCCATAGCGTTTCGTTTGCAAATCTATCCACCTTGGGACCCGTTATCGTTTGTGGGGTCAGTTTCTATCGGCCTCGTGTAAATAATAGGGCTATACGCACGCGAAATTATGCAGATACAAGCAGTTTTCTCCTCGTGTAAACGGCGCCTCAGCCCCGGTCATCAGCTCACAGACACCTCTCACATCAGCCCCTGGTTCTTCTCCACCCGCTGACGACACCTTGTCCTTCACAACCAACCAGGTGAGGAGGGAGCTGCAGAAGTGTAAGGCGAGGAAAGCGGTGGGTCCAGATGGCATCAGCTCGAGGCTCCTCAAATCCTGTGCGGATCAGCTGTGTGGGATTGTGGAGCTTCTATTCAACCTGAGCCTGAAGCAAGGGAGGGTACCACAACTGTGGAAGACGTCCTGTGTGGTACCTGTGCCAAAGACCCCTCGTCCCAAGGAATTCAACAGCTACCGGCCGGTGGCGCTGACATCACAGCTGATGAAGACCCTGGAGAGGCTGGTCCTTGGACACCTCCGGCCCATTGTGGCACCATCAATGGACCCGCTGCAGTTCGCCTACCAGCCTGCCATCGGTCATCTACCTGCTGCAGAGGTCCCTCTCCCACCTGGAGAAGCCGGGGGGCACTGTGAGGATCATGTTCTTTGATTTCTCCAGTGCCTTCAACACCATCCAGCCCCCGCTCCTGGGGGACAAGCTGCAGCTCTCGGGGGTGGATCACCACCTCACCTCCTGGATCCTGGACTACCTCACCAACCGCCCACAGTACGTGAGGACCAGGGAGTGTCAATCAGACACCATCATCAGCAGTACGGGGGCCCCCCAGGGGACGGTGCTGGCACCGTTTCTCTTCACCCTCTACACTGCAGACTTCACCCACAACACTGCAACCTGTCACCTGCAGAAGTTCTCTGACGACTCCGCCATCGTTGGCCTCATCTCCAACGAGGACGCCAGGGAGTACAGGGAGCTGACACAGGACTTCACCCTCTGGTGCCAGAGGAACCACCTCCAGCTCAACGCAACGAAGACCAAGGAACTGGTGGTGGATTTCAGACGGCGTCAACACTCCCCCCCAACACCAGTGAACATCCAGGGAGCGGACATTGAGATTGTGAAATCTTACAAATACCTGGGTGTTCACCTGGACAATAAACTGGACTGGACTGATAATTCTGCTGCTCTGTACGAGAAGGGACAGAGCAGACTCTTTCTGCTGAGGAGACTGAGGTCTTTCGGGGTGCAGGGGGCACTCCTTCAGACTTTTTACGACTCTGTTGTGGCACCAGCCATTTTCTATGGTGTGGCCTAATGGGGCAGCAGCATCTCGGCTGCTGACAGCAAGAGACTGAACAGACTGGTAAGGAAGGCCAGCTCTGTCCTGGGGAGTCCTCTGGACACTGTGGAGGTGGTGGGAGACAGGAGAATGTCCCTGCTGGACAATATGTCCCACCCCCTCCAGGACACCCTGTCCTCACTGTGCAGCTCCTTCAGCGACAGGCTGCTGCACCCCAGCTGTCACACGGAGAGATACCGCAGGTCCTTCCTTCCTGCAGCGGTCAGACTATTCAACCAGCACAGGCCCTTGTAGACCCCCCCCCCCTCCCCCCTCCCTTACACACACCACAACACAGACTATATCACCCCTTGCTGCTAAATACCAATCAACTATGTGCAATATGTGCTATATGTGCAATATATATATATGCCGTTAATAACTGTGTAATTTATAACTGGCTGCTAAATCCTAAGAACTGTTAGAGGATTTGTATTTTGAAAAGTATTTTTCTTTTACTTTTATTTTTTATATTATATTTGTTATTATATCATAACTTAGTACTTTTTTCTTAACATAGGTAACATTAAGCTGTCTGTGGCTCTTTCCTGCTGTAATGATGCAAATTTCCCCTCTGTGGGACTAATAAAGGTATTCTGATTCTGATTCTGATTCATTCTGACATCAGAATGAAACACAAAGGACTGAAGACTGTTGAAGAGCCAGCGAGGCAGTTATGTATGGAAAAATGTTTATTTTGGCAAGACAGTTTTAATATTCTCTACATTTTGTTTAATTAAAGGTGGGGTAGGTAATTTTGGAGAAACCAGCTCGAGTGCGCTAGAATTTGAAAATACACAACCGGAAAAAATCTGCCACTTCCTTATAGAGCCCCTCCTCCAACACACACGAACGCGCACATGACCAATGAGGGCACGAGATAAGTTTGTGCACAGATGGAAGGCTGACAGGCAGGTAGGCCATCCAGTTATTTTAGCCGGGCCGGCTAAAATGATTGGTCGTGCTTTTTACAGTATTACGGCTTCTACAGATGACATTTTTTTATGGATGTTTTGTCAAAGCACTTAAGATATTCATTGCTATCGGGATGTTAAGAGCATTCCATGGAATATAACAAAAAGTGTATCTCGAGCCAGTTTCTCAAACTTACCTACCCCACCTTTAAAGGATTTATTATAATGATACAGTTTTTGTTTTGTATGTATTGATGTTTTTGGACTATGCTGAGGTTTGTGTTGGTTATTGTTTACGACAGATTTAACAGATTATAGTGCGTATGTCCAACAGTTGAAATGGCGTTGCGGCAGTAAGAGGAGCCTGCAGGGGAGGGTCGTTAAAGTTTTCGACGTATTAGTGCACAACATGTCAGCGTGGTAGCTTGAACTAAAGGTTTGAACTTTTGGAAGTCAGAAAGAAATCTGGCCTAAGAATGTATGACTCTGGATTAACAGCCACTATAATGTGCTTCAAACTCTGATACACCTTTGGCTCTTTGTTTTATGTGGGAACAATTAGGAGCCAGTTATGTATAAGACATTTGTTTGCTTGTTGACTCCTACTATTTGGATCTATACGTTTAAGTACAGTAATAACAGATAATATTAAAGGTCTTGAACAGACTTCAGTATTCATTTTGTGTAATTGTGTACTGTTATTTAAGAGCGCCCCCTACTGCATGTGTTTCAGTCCCGCTGTAGAACTGTGGAGTGGAAGCTCGCTGTTTCCAAACCATGTAACACATGTTATACATTTGGCAAAAGAAAAGGAATGGTCAAATAATTGAAATATTATTTAACCTAACCTCTTTGTGTTGCAGCACCACCTGAAGAAGCTGGAGGGCCGCCGGTTAGACTTCGACTATAAGAAGAAGCATCAGGGGAAGATCCCAGACGAGGAGATCCGGCAGGCGGTGGAGAAGTTCGACGAGAGCAGAGAGCTGGCCGAAAGGAGCATGTTCCACTTCCTGGAGAACGACGTAAGAGAGGGGAAGCTTCTGATACATTATTATACAGTCCCAGATAATGCAATGTTCACACAAGAAGCCACAACGCATCAGTATTGTCAATTTCATCTACAAACATGAAGCTGGTCACAGCTGCAGACAAGCTACAAATCAGAGTTAACCTCATCGCTTTCAAAACGCATCAACCAATCAGAGCTTATGCTTGACCCCCGGCCCCTTACTTTCCCCCCACTGAAGAATTTAAGAGAAACGTAGGCCGGTTCTCAGAGCGAGTTAACAACAACCTACGTCAACGAATGCTTGAGCAAAAATCCAACAGCAACTCTGCAGCGATACAGCTGAGGCTGTTGTGGTGCTCTTAGTCGCCTGTAAGATTTAACATTACATATCACTTATACGCGGACGATATCCAGCTCCACATTTCGTTCAAACCTAGTGAGGCTTTTAGGATATCTAGGCTCTAATGGCGCATTTCCACTGCAGCGCGGAGCACTGTTTAAGCGTGCCGTGCCAAACCCGGCCCGTTTTTTGTTGCGTTTCCACTAGGGGTAGTTCCGGCTAACGGGTACTTTTTCACAGTTTTTCTGGCTCTCCAAAATCGTGGTTCTTTCCGGGCCAACAACCGGGCTGAATATGCTAAACTAGTGAGAGATTCGCTGGCAAGGGGGCTACAACTACAACAAAATGAACATATTTTACCATGATTTAATTGTAATACACGTTTCAAAATGATGCCGAAGTAACAACATACTGATACCGGTTAGTAAAAACCATGAATTAATGCTTTGACAAGTCTGCAGACAGACGGCAGGCGAAAAACCTTTTAAAATGCGTGTTTTCTGAATGGAGATCGGCTAAGCTAACGTTGTATATGCTCCGACCGTCCACACTCACAACAACGGCCTATACAGACATAAAGCAGCGACTGTATTCGCCATGACACAGGCAGTCTGTTGTTTGTACTTGTTTAACTTTTGTCTAGTTTCTGAACAGATATGAGGAGCTGTGAGCTCTGAGGGCTAACAGCTAACAGCTGATGTTTTGGTTTTGTGGTTCGCATTGAAGATGACGTCACGGCTCCGCCTGCACTGCGTTACCATAGTTACTGCCCCAGTACTAAACTGTAATGGAAACGCAGCATAAAGTGAGCCTGGCCTACCAAGGCCTAACTATACCGTACTAAGCCGTGTGAGGCCCTGCAGTGGAAATGCGCCATTAGACTGTCTTAGTGCTATTAAGGCAGGGGTGGGGAACCTCCGGCCCCCGGGCCGTATACGGCCCGCGAGACCATTTGGTACGGCCCTCGAAGTAATTTATAAACACACGCAAAAAAGAAAAAAAATTAAGAAAAGTCTAGACCGCAAAAAAATTAAACATTCGAGTGCCTGTTTTTCCTGGCCAAGGTCAGGGTCCTTGAACACAACACGAGCCTAACGTGTCATCACGTGGTATATGTCAGGTCTGACAGGGGTGCAGTTCTGACGGAGAGCACCAGAACGCCGCTCCGGCAGTTCAGAAATTGCAGTACCCATAAGGAGCCGTACACATGCCACCGTTTTTGCGTGGCTGTGTCTTTAGTTGAAAGCCCAGTGGCGATCTGTTCATCTGTCATACTGATCATACAGTCACTAACTTTGTTGTTATTAGCATCTGGTTAGCTAGCTATGCTAACGAATATAAGAAGCTTCTACAACCAGTGAGGTAAAGGCACATCTTTATATGATCATTATAGTTATAAAAAAATAAGAGAATAAAGTAAACAGGTATAAAATACTATATGACAGTAAAAAAAAGTTGTTATTGTAAAATATGATTTGAAAAATATCCATAAAGAAAAAGAAATCTGCTTACAGTTCTGTTTCATATGGATGTTGAGAGATGTATCCATAGATCTCTTAATGTTGCTCTCAAAGTGCACCAGATTGATGCTTTTAACTTCAACATTTAAAAAGAAATCTTCCCGGACCCCCTAGAGGAGGTTAGGTCCCCCCCCCATTTAAATCATGTCCACATGGATAGGAAACTAAATACATTTGCACACATCTTGTGTCCATATCTTTCTGTTTTGATGGTCATGCCACAACCGTGCACGTGCATGCATACGCGAGTCATGGTAAGGTATCTGGATTAAGATTTTTCTTTTTCTTTGCACAGCATGAAAGAAAGGCCAAATGAATGGGCTGTGATTTTAGTATTTTTAAGCAGAGGTCAATCATTTGTACGGCCCTCGGAGGATGTTGAAAAAATTGAAATGGCCCTTGAGAGGAAAAAGGTTCCCCACCCCTGTATTAAGGACGGCAGAAAAGAGGTTCTGGTTGTTGCACCAGAAAAGGTTGTACCCATGATTTTGCAATGTATTGGACCATATTCCTCTGCTGCCAACTCCAAACTACGTAACTTAAAGGTCCCATGTCATGCTTTTCCATTTATTACCCGTCCCCTTGTGTGTTATGAAGGTTTGTATGCATGTAAACGGTGTGCAGAGTCAAAACCCTCAAAGTACACCCTGTAGGGAGTAAAACTCTAACACAGAAAATACCTCCCCAAAACGCCTCGTTGGAGATACGTCATTGTCCATTGTTTACTTCCTGGGTGTTGTGACGTAGGAATGGCCAGTAGCCACGCCCAGAGCTATGACGCGATACGGTCATGCGGTACCCGGAACGAAATGGCCCAATCCGTGGAGCCGTTACGTTACGTCCGCGGAGCCGTTACGTTAAGCCCCCGCTGATTGGTCCAAATTGACCAATCCACGGACTTCCTCACACACACACTCTCAGCTGATTTCTCCTCCCTGGCTGCAGGCTGATAACAGACAGTTGGGATCGCGGCAAAATTCTCTCTGCAGACCCATTCTCACAGCGTTTATCAACCTTTTTCTTACTCAATATCAAGCCACACTTATTGTTTTTACTTCGGCTGTGACTTTGTGTGTGCTCAGGATGAGTTTGGCTGTGTTTCGCTATGTATCCTAAACAAGGAAACAACACCTCCACGGAGCTCAGCGCGATTCACAACGTCCCGACCAATCAGAGCACACTGTGCTCACAGGGAGGGTGGGGGCTGGAGCTATTGGAGCTACAACGAGCCGTTAAAGGCAGAGAGTGAAATTCAGTGAATACACGTAGTTTACAGAGATGCTGTATGAGAAACCAATGTGAGTTTGGAAAATTGCACAATATAAATCTATTCTAGTAGACCTCAACAATGGAATTATGATCAGTGGAAATGGCCATGACATGGGCCCTTTAAGGGTAATATTTAATCAATCCGTGTCGTTTGACAGCCATGTTAGGCAACTGACCAGATCTTGTTTCTTCCACCTACGAAACATTAGTAAACTGAGATCTGTAGTTTCAACGTCTGACCTAGAGATGATTATACATGCATTTATTTTTATCTCGCATTGACTACTGTAACGCACTTTTCACCTCTCTCAGCATGTCTGCTCTTGGTCGTCTGCAGGCAATCCAGAATGCAGCTGCTAGACTTCTCACCCGGTCAAATAAACGGTCCCACATTACCCCAATACTTAGATCTCTTCACTGGCTCCCTGTAGCTTATATGTGGAATATGGAAATTGTGCAATTGGCAGATAAGCAGCAATGAAACTTGAGAATAGCTAATCATTTATCAAGTTCCTTCAAAACATCAGCCCGCCCACTCAGGTAAAATATGCTCAGTCCTACTTACTCACCTTAAGACCCGTGGTGATCGAGCGTTCGAGGCCGCGGCTCCTAAGCTATAGAACGCTCTGCCCGCTCACCTACGGTCCGCAGACTCTGTTGACTCCTTTAAAACTAATTTAAAGACATTCCTGTTTGGGCAGGCGTTTGGGTAACCTGTGCTTTTATTTTATTCTATTTTATCCAATGTTTTTATTGTGTTTTTGTGTTTTTAGCACTTCTTAACACGTGGTTTGTGTGATCATTTATTATTTTATGATTCCTATGATGTTTTAATGTTTTGTCAATCACTTTGACTGTGACTTTGTCTGTGAAAAGCGCTTTATAAATAAATGTTACTTACTTACTTACTTACTTACTGTAGTGTGAGCACAATATTTAAGGAAAGTTAAAGGTCACCTATTATGCAAAATCCACTTTTGAATGTCTTTTCTACATGAATATGTCTCCCCTCTGTGTTAAGAGACTCTGAAAGTCTCAGGAACAAAAAACCCCTCTCTTTTCTTTTTTAACCAAACCTCTCTCAGAGGGGCGTGGGGAGTGGCTCCTTATTTTCATCTAAAGTAACAGACAGAGAATCAGCACTTTTGAAACAGGGCTGAAACAGAGGGGATTATGGGATGCTGCAATGATCTCTGTGTGTGTGTGTGTGTGTGTGTGTGTGTGTGTGTGTGTGTGTGTGTGTGTGTGTGTGTGTGTGTGTGTGTGTGTGTGTGTGTGTGTGGTGTGTGTGTGTGTGTGTGTGTGTGTGTGTGTGTGTGTGTGTGTGTGTGTGTGTGTGTGTGTAGGTGGAGCAGGTCAGTCAGCTGGCAGCTCTGATGGAGGCGGCCCTGCAGTACCACAGGCGGTCGGAGGAGACCCTGCAGCAGCTCAGAGTGAGGCTGCAGGAGAGGTGAGAGGTCGGGACAGTGAAAGCATCAAGTCAGCAGCACATTCACAAACTATGGTGTCAATGTAAATGAATGTTCTAAATGTGGGAAAGGCTCACCATTGCCAAAGAGATACCTGCTAGTGATGTGTCGGTCGCGAACGAGCCGATTCTTTTGAACGGCTCTTTGGTACGAACGAGGGGAACCGAGTCGTACTTGGTGAGAGCCGTTCTTGTTATCGTTCAATCGTTGGTCCGCACTCACTGCCTGCCAAAATCCACTCTCCTTTTAAAAAGCTTGATTTTGTTCCCCAAACGTATTCTGTGAAGACCCGCCCCTACTCTGATTGGTAGGTTTCAGCACGAGGAGTTAGGTGGGGTGGGTCTTTAGGGAATACGCGAGAGAGAGAAGTCATAACAAGTGGTACGGGACAGATAGACAACGTGTTTTTTTCGGATGGAAAATGAGCCAAACGCAGCAGCATTTGGATGCACTTCAACCAAAACCCAGGCAGTGATAAAGCGCACCATTTGTAAAGGCAAAATATCCTTTAAAGCAGGGTCAACAAATAATCTCCATCGCCACTTCAAAACACACTACTAATATTAAGAGTTGCGTGAATTTCATTCAAGGCAAGGCAACTTTATTTACTTAACACATACAGAGGGTAAATTCAAAGTACATTCACTGACATGATGACATGGGTATGGCGCCACCTTGTGTCATGTTTACAATGCAGATTATTGACATTAGGTCTGGCAATACAGTCAATCATTATCCTGGTGATTATTTTGCAGATAAACCTAGTAACCTTAAAAAAACGGCTCTTTTGAACGGCTCTTTGAAAGGAACAGAGCCATAAGATCCGGCTCCCTTCAAAGAGCCATAATTCCCATCACTAATACCTGCTTTTGCTGGTTTGTTGTTTTGCAAAATGCATGAGCTGGTCCACCAATCCAAAGCTGTGCAGAGTTGTTTCAAATCACAGTTATTTCAAAGTCATTGTGTCCTGACCTACGGTTGGGAGACCGATGTAGTCAGGGTGGATTCTGGGATGTTATCTCTGTGAGATGATCTGTGAAAAAGCTGTGTAGAGAAAATGTGTTTTATAATTGTATAACAAAAAAAGCCTTTCATGTTCTTAATACCTAATGCCTTTCTTTTCGCCTGATGAAACATTCATCCCCCAAAGAATATCCACAGCCAGCAGCCGCAGCAGGAGGGAGTTCAGGTGTAGGTCGATGAGGAGCAGCGTGGGGGTCAGCAGTCAGCAGGGCGGCCTGAAACCCACCGGTACATCCTCTCTCTTTAAGCCAATCACAAGGGAGGGGTTCCTTTAAACAGTATCAGGTGGTAGAGGTGTCATCCTTAGTTCTAGTTTTATTTTATTTATTTTTTAGATGTTATGCCTCATTGTGTGTGTGCTCTACTTCATTTCATATTGATCACTTTCCTATCCAGATATTTATCTTCCATCACCAGATGCACATTTTATGATACACCGTTAGTATATTCCAATCTTTGAAACTGACAGTGAACCTCTCTCTCCTCTGACCAACCCTTAGCGAGCTGTGTGTGTGTGTGTGTGTGTGTGTGTGTGTGTGTGTGTGTGTGTGTGTGTGTGTGTGTGTGTGTGTGTGTGTGTGTGTGTGTGTGTGTGCGTGTGTGCGTGTGTGTGTGTGTGTGTGTGTGTGTGTGTGTGTGTGTGTGGTGTGTGTGTGTGTGTGTGTGTGTGTGTGTGTGTGTGTGTGTGCTTCACTGTGGATCAGAGCGCACATTTGGGAACATGTTATCATCAGCACCTGAGTGTGTGTGTGTTGCATTGTGGTCTGGTGCTCAACACCATCTCCATCTGTGTTTACATCTCACCCAGCTGACATCACCTCTGTTCCACTGTCATGGCCTGAGACCCCCACTACCAATGGCTTTATTCCCCGTGAGTAACACACACACACTGTTTTCTCCCTTCTTTAAATGAATCCTGCATTATCGTGTTTCAACTCCTCACATGTGAGGGAGGGGATCAATCCGGCCGTTTCACAGAGTCGTAGTTCATTCATCATCTTACAAACCATAATTGACTGTAGGGTAACTTCCTATCATTTTCCAGAGCTTTAATTCATGGAGTTTTCTCAGTTGTCGTGGAGATGTTTTAGTACTGGTCAATGAGCCCCTCCACTCACCTACTAGTTTTTCATTGACTTTTAAAAGTATGTAATGGTCTCCATCAGTAGTTTGAGTTTGCTCAATTATCGTGCTGATTGCAAAACAAATCTTTAAAGTAAAATGTCAATAAAATCTCATTTATAAAGCCTTGCGTAGGATTCACGTGGGAAGGTTGCTTACGTAGGACAAAGCAAATAAATACGCACAGACATTTTCCGATTTATAAAACACTGCGTACCGGCGTAGGACGTGTGTGCGGCACGTCCTACGCCGGTTTCCCTTTATAAATCACAATCAACTCGAAATGCGGCGCAGCTTTTGCGGGCTTCACGTAACGCCCATATTTGCCAATAAATAGTCAAAGAAACGCCCCGTATTAATATTCATTCAGACTGACTGCATGAAGAAGATCGCAGGAAATGACGACAGAACAGCTAAAAAAGACTTTTCACACCGTGTCAGATTTGGGTTCTTTTGGGGAGGTGGAGATAAATCACATTGTTTGGTGGATGCAGTTTGAACCAGAGTAGCAGCATGGAGGTCGGATCGTCACCAAAATAAATAAATAAGTGGTCCGAAAAAAGTGAATGACAAAATACACATAACCTTCCTCAGGCAGTGTGTCAGTGTGTTTGTGCCGGGGACAGGAGACCCCCCCCATGATGAGCAACTGTAAGAAAGTATCGGGGGATCCCTGCGGAGTGGAGTCAATTCATGTTTATTTTTTTATTTGGTGGTTTGTGTTCCAGCTGTGGATCAGCTGTGGATCAGCTGTGCGCAGCGTCTCCACTGCAGCCTGTGCGTCTCAACCCCCCCCCCGCAGCAACTCTATATCCACCAGTTAAAGGAAATGAAACTAATGTGTTGATTTGTATCAGCTGCCAAATCTACCAAATATATGGTGTTCTTAGTTTCCATACCTCCTGTGTTTTACGAGCGACTTATCAAGTCTTAGCAAACGGCATAAAACACGATTAAACGTGATAGTATATAAAACCATGCTCGTATCTACAACCTATAGAAATGCAAAACGGCGTCAGTTTAGACGTAATTCTGTCCTCCTGCTTACCGCATCATTTATGAGAAAACATTTCATAACATTAACACAACATATTCGAGGTGGTTTTAAATAACATATCCGTATATATGTATTTCTCCAAGTTATGTTTTTGTGTGCACTGAGGAGTCTCAAACAGGCGTTTGTTTCATCATTTTAAGATTGGCTTTAATCAATGTTTGAAAATGAATTCTTCATATTTGATAAATGAGAGGTAACATTTTATTTATGGTATTATTTCCACATATTTCTCTCCATTCTTCCTTCTGCCAACGGTGTCGCAGTTTCTCGTCTCTCCCGTTTTTGTGCTTAGCATGGGTCAGAGTTTCTCGAGTTTGCGTGGAGGACCGCACATTTTCCCGTCAAGTTAGTTTTTTATAAATCGCAAACATTGCTTAGAAAACGGCGTACGCCATTTTTTGAGCGTACGCACCGTTTATAAATGAGGCCCCTGGGGAGTAAAGTTGGGGGGCCTTCAACACGTCTAGCCCGCTTACTTCCAGCAACCTTGCTTGAATCACACTGCTCTTTGAAACTAGGCCTTTATTTTGATCTCAAAAGACACCTGTAGAGTTGTGTCCCTTTATCTTGCAGGGTTGTAAAACTTTCATGTAGACAAATGGGATGCTGACAGACAGATAGACAATATGTTGTAATATGGACATATTACAACATCTTCTCCATTGCTTCCCCATACTGCAGGGGTCTCCAGAAGCACATTATGTATAATGACACACACAGACCCACAGGTGAAATGCTGTAGCAGCTGCTATAGAATTCCTTGATAATGAAAGTAATCACTGCAGCCTTTAGCATTACTGCAGAAACAGAATGATTTTGTGTCTCTGTGGTGCAGAGTCGGAGCTGCTGGACCAGCCGTGCTGCCGCTCTCTCTACAGCTTTGAGCCGGAGAACCAGGGGGAGCTGGGCTTCAAGGAGGGCGACATCATCATCCTCACCAACCAGATAGACGAGAACTGGTATGAGGGCATGATCCACGGCGAGTCAGGTTTTTTCCCCATCAGCTACGTGGAGGTCCTTGTCCCCCTGCCTCAGTGAGGGCCCCCGTCCTCAGACTCATACTATCACAGCGGCCTCGGCCCTCAACAGGACTCGGGCCGAAGGAAACAGGACCAGCTCAACCAGAGCTGAAAAGAAGGGGTAGCAGTTTTATCCCAACATTGTGTTCTCTGTTTATATTTATGAACCTGAAGTCAACTGAACCCTAAGACATGAGCAGGACACGGCCTGGGTTTTGATCTGACCGAGAGGTCTAGCATCCTATCAGTCCTCTCTGATGACGCTGCTTCCCGTTGGTGCTGATCAGAGTTTATGTCGTGGCTGTGTGCCTCTCCTCTGCTGGATCTCTCCTCTAGTTAATGGTTGAGATCGGTAACACGGTGACGGTGCTAAAAGAAGTCAGACGGGTCCCGAAACCATTCACTTTGAATGGGGTGACGTCACGCTTTGCTGAACTGCATTGTGGTTCCGTCGCATCGCTTTGCCTCCGTTGCTCGCTTCGAACGTTGAGAAAAGTTCAACTTTTCAAGCGTCGACGGAAGCGCCAGCCAATCAAATCATATGCCAGTACAAGCTCTAGCCAATCAAACCGCGTGCTTGTGTGTCCGGGGCGGGAGATTAATGTGATTGGTTGTTGGTCGCACGCCAGACACGCCCACCGGCAAGCTTCAACGCGACGCTGCCGTGTGGCCGTACCGTAAGACGGCTGATGGGGCTTCACTAACCAATATGGGTCATTCAGCCCAGAGTAGAATACCTGCATGTGTGAGGTGTGGCCTGTGGTGATGAACCCAGAGAGTCATCACCAATCATCCTCTGCAGTTCCCCTCTGCTCTATATATAGATAGATACTTCATTCCTTCTGGGGGGGGGCATGTTTGCATGTCACAGCAGCAGTACATCTACCACAGGGTACACATCTTATTGCGAAGCTATTCAGCATTAAACGTCTTTCAGTTTTGCGATTGTAGTAATGTGTTATTTATTATTTGCATGTACAGCTCTTTGGCTCGACCAAAAATCGTTTTAAAATGTGCTTTATAAATAAAACCTGATTTGATTTGATTTGATTCAGCTTTTTATTTTGGTTTTACAAAATGCAAATGTAATGACTCGGATCAGTCTCTGCTTTCATCGAGTTGTTTCCAGCTGTGGACACCTATAGTCTGCGTCTCCCCTTGTCCTGTGCCAGTTCATCTTGTCTTTTCATACCAAGTCAGCCAGCCATTCTTCGTGACCATTTTTGTGACTAAGAATTCTTTGTTTGTCTACTTTTCTTTTTTAGCCTTAAGTTAAAAGTGATCCACCAAGTGGCCGTATTTTTTTTGTTGCATTTTTGTCCTCCAATGGCGTGCTTTGCGTTTTTTCTTTTGATTAAAAGCCCTTGTACTTGTACCTGTTTCTGGTGTCATGCATTTGGGTCCTGAGCTTGTGTCCATCGTAACAGTACGAACTGGCCAAAAGTAAGGACCCAGCCGACTCAGACAGGTTCAGAGCAGCTCTGCGCTCTTAAGGCACGCTTTTGTCTCAGCAGGAGGAACAGCTGAAATCAATTGACCAGGGAGTGAGAGACTTGAGTGGTCGTCAAGAGAGTTACCAAACATCAGTGAATAGCCAAGTTAACCACATGGCAGAACAACCTTCCGTGTCCTTACTCACCTGGAAGCTGGATCTCAAACCCCTTCAGCTGCTGCATCCCTGCCTAAGGCTGTGAAACCTGTGGCGACCTGCACTATCAACATAGCTTTCCTGATAATATACTTAACGGGTAGAGCAACAACCTGGGCTACAGCAGAGTGGGCCAGAGACTCTCCCCCTTGCAGATCTCTCAGACGGTTTACTGACTGAGAGAGATCTTTGATCGTACAACACCTGGAAGAGAGGCGGCTAAAGCTCTAGTTCAACTCAAGCAAATATATCGAAGAGTGTCTGATTATGCCATATAATTTAGGACAATAGCAGCAGATAGCTGGAATGATCTGGCCTTGCTTGACACCTTTGTGAATGGACTTCATTTGGCCCCTTTAGATCTTCCAGACGATTTAGATTATTGAATTGCCCTGGCTATACGAATAGACAATAGACTTTGGGACAGGTGATAGGACAGAGACCAACATGCAGAACACCCTCGTTGCATCCGGATGGGGGAGGATTCTTCTTCAAGAGTGTTGCACAAAACTCCTGCTGGGTCAGATGAACCCATGCAACTGAACCGAGCAAAACTGACCCCTGAGGACGCCTCCACCAGGTCCGGTGTTTCTACTGCGGGCGTCATGAACACCTGTCGGCTGCTTGCTCAGTAAAACCGGGGCTCGCCAGGGAAGAGGAGGGCGCTGGTGAGCCGACTAACTTCAGACTACTCTCATCCCACGCTGACTCCTGTCTGACAAAGTGTTCTCATTGATTCAGGAGCAGACGAAATGGACTGGAATCTTGCCAAAAGTTTGAACATTGACACCATGCCTTTACCCCAAACCAGGGGCCAAGGCCAGCACCCCAGATTATTGTTTCAGGTCACTCACCACACAGCCTGTCCAGGTTATCATAAATCACAACCACACAGAATGAATGACATTTCATGTATTTAACTCTGCCAACACCCTCTCGTTTTAGGCTTCCAATGGTTAAGACATTATCCACACATTGACGCCAGACGCAGACGCACTCGTGTTTTTGATCCTGAACTCTTGGCCAAGAAACCAGAGCCCATCCTTCCGCTGAACTGTGTGGTGGGAGCGGTAACCTGGCCAATAGAAACAGAGGGGAAACGAGCTACCGTGAGAGCCCAGTACCAGGTGGTTGCCCCCCAAATAGGCTGTTTGTTCCTGTATCTGTGCGTCCTCAGGTCATTCATTGGGCTCACACCCCTCGCTGCTCACCTGCCATCCACGGGTTAAAAGAACCATGTACTTCATCAAGCAACGGTTCTAGTGGCCAGCTATGTAAAAGTGATGTCAAAGAGTATATGGCCGCCTGCTCCATCTGTGCAGGGAATGAAACCTCTTCCAGGCCCACGAGGGGTCTGCTCAAGCCACTGCCGATCCACAGCCGTTCCTGGTCCGGTGGACTTTGTCACCGGATTGCCACTTATCCTACATACACTTTAATAACGCTATTAAAGTGTATGTAGGATGCTTTGGATAAAAGCACAATCTAAATGTGTGTGTTATGTTGCCAACAGCAGGTTGGAAAGTTCTGCCCCCGAGTGTCCTGCTAAAAACTGAATGAACACATGCTGCTTTAATCAAGCCAATAGGTTAGCCTCATATTTAAAAATAGAGAAATGAAGGCGAAGGTGATTCTTCTTCCTTCAGAGTTTATGGTTTACAGACACATGTTCTGATATAACTGAGACCCACACAGTTTTTTGTAGAGTCAAGGATCATTAGCAACGGTTCAGTTTTACGTAAAAAAAGTTGTTTAGATAATCTGGATTATGTGGGCTTGTTTACACCCTTCCTGATTGTGTGACGGTTCATGTTTCTTGCCCTGTTGGATATCTGATTTATAATATCAGGTAGATATCTGTAGAGCCTGTGTTCAGTGCAGTCTTTTCTGTCCCCAAACTGACTGTTGTTGTCTGCTGTGCTTTGACCTAGATTCTCTCTGAATGTACCTCTCTCTGTTTACATGCTCTGATTTAATGCAAGGACCGTACAGCCCACTCTGTGTCAGGTAGGGGGGGCTGCCTTCTCTCACTGAAACGCTGTAGGAAAAGTTGTCTGAATTGCACTGAAGCTTTAGAATCTACCTGCCACATATGTTTATGGACCTTTTTATATGTTAATATTTTGTTTTTTATTTTCCTTAGTGTTACACTTTGTGTATAAGAATAGTTTCCATATCAGATATGTCCAAGTCCTAGTGGTAGATTATCAGATTTATATAACCAAAGATATTATTTTTGGACTATACTATAATGTATCCATCTCAATCATTGTAATGTAGATTTGTAATTGTTTTCATCGCATCTGAAATCAGATATGTGGGGATGCAGATGATCTCAATGTTACATCTGAGGCCTTTTTTTGTCATATCATCAACTTTAGTTCAGCAACAACAAATAATGTTTCCTCACAAATGCAACCATTAAGAATTTTGCTCTGATTAACGTTAAAATAATTACCTGGTAGTCTGAACAAAAAAACCTACAGTGAGAAGTTATTGGTTTTACAATATCTGCTTCTGGTAAGTTTTGAAACATTTAGCAATAATGTAATCATAGCTTGTGATCATCCAAAGTAAAAGCAGAGGTGATTCGGGTTAAAGTAAATAACACAGCTTGTTTACTACAAACACAAAAGAGCAGAGTGGTGTGTATGGCAGGAATCAGATGTAGTAGTGATGAACGAGTGCTATGGAAATGTTCAGTATGTTCCACGCTCAAACACAGTGTCACACCACTATTGCATACCGGCAATTCATCAAACGACTTGTTTTCCCCTTCCAAAGCATGTGTATGTATTGGGGATTTGTCTAAAGAGGTTCTCGATGGAATTAATCCTTTATCTACATTATCAATTGTTTGTGAATTTAGCCAATTGCCAAAATGTTCAACATGTTTCATACATGATTCTGTTTTCCTACAGATTGTAATTATTTATTTGGATACTGGAAAGCTCTTAGCACGTGATGTCATCTGCAACGTATTCCATCAGCAGGTTGAATCCGGCATGCAGTCTTTTGAAACACTCAAACAATATTTCTCTGTCAACACTGTACTTCTGTAACTTCGCTGTATTCACAACGCGCTCCAGGCAAAGGCTGGGCAGTCTGAGTTTGTCTGTGTCCTTTTTCAGTAGCATCATTCATGCAAAAGGTGTTTTATAGATGTTGTAAATGCATATATAAATAAATATATTGCAAAAATAAATGTCAAGCAAATATTTATCCTTACTCACGTGTGCTTTGTTTGTGTTTTTCTTGTTAAGCACACTGTGGACCGAAACACTGTCCCCCTTTAACATTAATGTTACAGCCACAATCATATTTGAGACAAGAGCAAGCTCCCAACTTTGTCAACTGTTCAGGTCAGGGCACAAATCCAGCTTCATAAAGACATCATATTTATTTATTATTATACATACATATACTGTATACACTCAGGTTAGCATATCTTTGGCACACTAGGAGCAGCTAAAAACAGATAACTGCAATCAACTTTACGTCATGAAGAGACTAATGTTCCGTTTTTGCTGGAAATGATTCACAGAGGTGTTGATTCAGCTGATGCTGAAGCTGCTGGTTCTGGAGAATTGTGTTGCAATATACTGAGAGCTGCTTCTGATATTTAGTCCATATCATTTTTTGTTATTTTTGCCTAAGTATTAGTAGAGTTACAGACGGGAACCGAAAGATAGAGAGATGTATGACATTCAACAGGGTCCCCGACCTGCAGTTATACAGTACGACGCGTCTTAACCAGCTGACTGAGGACGACCCAGTCACCCTCACTGATATACACAGAGTGGACAACACATTCGAAAACTGTAATAGTGTAATGGCATAGTCCAGACTCAACAATCACCATAACATTGAACTAACACACTTCTCTTGAACAGTTTTAACCAAACATAAACCCTATTATCTCCATGAAGGCGGATATACTGCAGGGCCTGATAACGCTGTATCTGACCTCAGAAGTCTAGCCACTCCGTTTATGTTATCCGTTACCTAGCAAAGCACAACTCGTTGGTTCATGTTTTTTGTGGGCATCCAAACGTTTATTTCTAATAATCCACCAGTGCCATATTTATTCTCGAAAGCAATGTGCTGGTTCTAGAAAATATAGACTAGGAAGGTTTTTATTTGAACATCTTTGTGTTAAAGAAAAAGCCTTTATAAAAGTGTTAAAACATGTCAGGAAATATCCTCAATAAATATTTGTTAAAGATGTTACTGAAATATACTACATCTCTGCTGTGAACATCACAACTTTCATTTTGTAAAGCTACTTTAACAAAAAGTAATTCAAGAAATGTGTTTCTTTGTTTTTCGGGTGAACCAATCCTTTAAACTTTTACATTTTGTT